GCGCGACGCGGCTGCGGGGTCGTCCCGGGTGCCTGGCGCGGGCGGGCGCGGGGCCGGTAAGGTGCGCTCGCCACAAAGCATCCCGGCTCGGCAGCGGGCCGGCTGCTTTATGTAACTTGTCTCCTTCCCCGAACTGGGGCGGCGTCCCCCCGGACGGCGGCGGGAGCTGCAGCCCGGCCGCTGACGGAGGAGGGAGCGTCCTAGAGAGGTTGCTCCTGGCCCGGCACCTGCGGCGTTCTTCGCCCCAGCCTGCGCTCCCTTGGCCCCCCGCACAAAAGCCGGAGCGCGGGGAGGCGGAGGGGCCGGGGAGCGGCACTGCTCACCTGGCGCCCGCGGGGCTGCGAGCTGCTTCGGGAGGTGTCTCCGAGGGCGGCTTTGCGGCGCGTGGGGGTGGGGAGGCCGGGCCATCGGACCGCGGGAGTCGTGGTCTCGGCCAATTCCAGGCGGGTGTTTCCCCACTCCTGCTGCGGGGGCTGGCTTTCTCGGCTTTTCCCTCTCATCTTGCCCTACTTCTTCCCCTCCCCCTTTCCCCTCTCCCCTCCAACCTCCTCCAAGTTCATGGCTTCTGCAATGCGGTGGGTGTGGTTACCTAGTAAATTGTAACTGGTCCCTTGCAGTGGGAGCAGTCTTTCCTTTTGGGGTTTTATATTTACGGATCCAAAGTTTTCTAGGGTTTTCTCCTCCAGTTGCAGCCCAGGGTTAAAGCTGGAAAGAGATTGTTGGAGAACTAACAGAATGATAAAGAAAACATGTGGTATTAATTACGTGAGGAGGCTGGGCTGGGAAATCCCGAGAGGGCAAGGCAGTCCTGCTAATGCAGTGCTTCCATTACGTTTAAGTTGGTGTTTCAGTGTTTTTACATTAGTCTTGCAGTCCTGCAGAACTGCTTTTGCAGGTATCCTGCCTGACCTTTTTGGGGGCCCATTTTAGGCTCTCAGAGGCAGCCAGGTGTCCTGGAGTTTCCCTTGGAAGCGTGAACATTCCTAGTAGAAGAGTCATCACACTAAGTGCTAAAAACATTCTTTTGGGGGGTCTTAGTCTGATGTTTAAAGCCTCAAGAAATCCAAAATTATAAAATTCCACTTCTATCTGGGAGCCCTGGATCCAGCACCAATTACTGCAAATTAAGCAAAAAAAGCCCCATTAAGAAAGGGGAGCACCTCAAGCTTGAGTAAACTCTGGGGAATGGGGAGGCGATTTATACCTTGGCTCTAACAGGATTTTTAAAAAATGCATCTTAATTTTGGTTTCAAACTTTTAAAACTTAAGTTGGAATAATAAAATTGTGAGAGGAAATAAACTGAGATTGAGAAACAGTAACTTTAATTTGTTAATTTCACAAGGCACTGATGAAAAAAATCTCTGAATACTGTTCTATTTGCATTATAATTTTTTGGTGTTTTAGAAAAGCAAAATATATCAGAGGCACAAGGTACTGCATTAAGTTCAGCTAGCTAATCCACTTCAGACAAATACTTTTTTGCAAAAAGAACATGTTTTGTGAATGATTTATCAGTAATAAAAAGTAGCCACATTATTTAATTTGTGAACCCCTTTTAGGTGAAGGATTGAGAAGATACAGGTCAAAAGTCAGTGTCTCCGCAAAGTATTTACATTTAATTTTTAAGTCATTTCTTCTGCATGAATGTGATTTTAGGTTAGAGGCAGTTTTTGCCAGTTCTTGTATAGGGTTTGGACTTTGGCCAACTTTGAATTGTGTTGAAATAGGAGACCAGGGAATTTTTTTTTTTTTTTTTTTACTTGATTAGAAACTATTTTATGTATACATTGGTTTTTTTAGAACTGTTTGGTCAAATGCATTAAGGGGCTGCCCAGGTGCAAGACAAGCAACCCTTCATGTACTGAGAGATGTAATATTGTCATCAGTTTGTGAATCTTTTCTGGATTTACTCTATGTTGATTAAATATGGCAGGAACTTTTTGTCCAGGGTATGGTCTTACATGTTGTAATATACATATTCATCTTTTAAGTTAGTGCTTTAAAAAAAATCTTAAAATTCACAAATTAGAATTCATGTCCAATTGGTGACGTAGAACTTCATTCAGGAGTAAGCCAAAAACTATACGTTTGAGAGAGAGAATTTGTGAGAATTTGGCTATAATGAAGAGAGAGATTACTTATTTACTTGACTGTCCTGGACATCTTTGGTTCCCATAGTGCCTTCCAAGTATCCAGACACCGTTCTGTCCTGAATGTCAGCTTTATTATGGGATATAGACTTACTATTGAAAACCATGAATCAAATTAATCTTTAGCACCACTTCATTTAGAGAGATCTTTAGTGGTGCAATTGCTGCATCTATTTCTTTCAAAAGGCTTGCTAGCGCTAATTTGTTGGGAATTCGTCAGGGACTCTTGGAGGGTTCTGCTGTCATTTGATTTGCCTTGGCAGCAAAGAATTGTGTGCTCAGAAGCAAGGACTGGAGCAGTGAAGTCATTGCCCTGCCTGGTGTTGTGACATCACTATGGCTCAAAGGAAACAAGGGTGGGGCAGGCAAAACCAGCCGGTCTGAAGCATCTTGCTGGCTTTAACTTTGCCTGATAAATGAACGAGACTCTCCTTTCGCAAGTTGAACTGCACCATAAGGTATTGTTTGGAGGATGGGAAGGTAGATGTGAATTCAAGGCTGCATAGGAAAGTGTGTTTCATAGATCAAGGAAGAAGAGGGTTTTTTTTTTTTTTTTTTTTTGTGAAATAGTAGAAATCATTGAATTTCCCTTTTACTGGGTAAAACACTATACGTAATCTTTAAAAAGGGCCATTTAAAAAATTATCCAGAGAGCAAGAATTTTTTTTTTTTTTTTTTACTATTCTTTGTACTAAAATAGCATTCTTGCTAAATTTTTGGTTTAGATTATTAGTATTGTCTTTTAAAAGTATGTGTTGTCTATAAAGATAGTGTGTTTTCTGGGTAGGCAGTGTTCTTTCCGATTTATTTTTGAGTGATGTGATGGCAGTTGGCAATGATGGAAAAAGCTAGAGATCTCACAAGTTTACAAGATACCTGCAGTGATTTGGGGTAATTGATTTCCATTTAAATTGTTCAAATTATTTTATAATTTAACATTTTAATCCTAACTTAGATTTCTAGTGCACAGATGATCACAGGCATGTTTCACCCAAATTAGTATTGAATAAATTACAAAAGGAAGTCTGAAATTCTGAAACTGTAAAGTACATTTCATGTTTTGATTTCTGCATGTAATGTGACATGAGCTTGAAGAAATGAAGACTCCTGGAATAGCTGCAGATCTTCATTGTCTTTTCTATACCTCCTTGGTCAAGATGACTATCATTTTTTTCATGTGAGTGTATTATGCATGTAGAGGCTCTGGGCAGTTCTTCACTGTGTAGCGATTCCAGAACAATTTCCAAAGCAAGGGGGGAAAATGGGAAGAATGACACAAGTAAAGAAGTTGAAATTGCAGATCACTTGGTGGAAAGGTCTTCGGAATTGCATTTTTAGACCTTGCGGTGATTGGTTAAATTGCACACTTTAGAATTGTAAGCTTCTATTAGCACCAAACCTCTAATTCTTTTGTAATTTGCAGTGCAGAGAAAAAGCTGACAACTTAATTTTTAGATTGCTGACATTTTGATACATTGTTCTTACAGCTCTTCCTTACAAACTTAAAAAAGAAAAAAAAACAAAACAGAAAGGTCTGTACTGGACCTAGGAAAAAATGCAATATTTAACTGCTTCGTGTATTTATTTTTCTCTCCAGTTTTACTGAGTGAGTGAGTGCATGATGTGAGTAGGAACTTATTTTTCTTGGAGTTTCATCCCCAAACCAAGTACAGGTCTAAACACTTATAGCATTGAGTAAATATTTATGGACTTGAATGAAAAATGAGGCCATTTGTGACTTATGCTTCACTACAAGAAATATTTGAAAAGGCTTCAAAGGCACTGCTACTCTACTTAAAAATGAGAATTACTGGACCCATGTCTGCAGTCATTATTTTTAATGGCATGATCCTCTTCATAACAAGCTTGCTATTCTGCCCATAGCTTGAATGAGGTAGGTTCTGGAGGTTTTGCCATATCAGAGAAGAAAATACTGCAGGTACCTAGAAAAACAAGAATGGCTTCTTTAAGGGAAGATCTGCAGGCGGCCTGCTTCCTTTCCTGCCGGCTCTAATTGGTGTCATGGAGGACATCAGTAGAGAGGGAATTCTCAGAAGATGAGGAGAGGGATTGGACTGGTGTGTGACAGAAGCTGAAAATGGATTAGGGCTGGGTGATGATATTGATCCTGACGTTGGACTAAAAAGAGAAAAACTATTTTCTATTGTAGGTCTCTCCTCTTTGGTCATTTTTGTACATAGTGCTTACATTATCAAACAGTGAGTTTCTCTGTGTCTGTGCAAACCCCAATGTCATCATTTCTACAACAAACATATTTTTGCATTTTAACATGTCTGAGTTAGAGATATGACTCACCGTTGCTCTCAGCCATGTGGCAGAGAAAGCAGGCAACTGATTCCACTGATTGGAGCATGCATCCAAAATTGGAGATTGGATGTCAGATGATTGGAAGATAATCGTGGAGTAGTAACGGGCACTGGTAAGAAATGGTGCCTCACTGATAAAGATGCATAGGGGATGGCATTGTGGGAAAGCATGGACAGTAATAACTGAGTTGGCCTGCAATTCAAAGGAGGCAGAGTCTGACCTCGGCCAAATTATTTTGTTTCTGTGTATTTATTTATGCATAGAATACCTAAATAAATCTAAGAATTCTTTAACTAGAAAAGAAAAATTCTGATGTATGAGTCATAGCTTGATTGGCAGAGTGCTGTGTCTCTTACAATGAATGGTGTCATGAATTTTATGGAATATGGTTTGTCACTTGGATGTGCAAATTTTTTTTATGAAGAATACTTTATAATCAGTTCTTATTTATATGGCCCATTCTGTGTATTTGTAATTATTTTTTTAAGATTTAAAAAAAATTATTTAAAGAGAGAAAGTGCACACAGGCGGCGAGAGGGGCAGAAGGAGAGGGAAAGAGAATCTCAAGCAGACTCCCGCTGAGTGAGGGGCTTGATCTCACTACCCCAAGATCATGACCTGAGCGAAACCAAGAGTCAGACACTTAACCAGCTGTGCCACCCAGGTGCCCCAGTAATTATGTTTCTTTTGTGCATTACTTGATAGGACACATCTATTGAATGGTCTTTGTATTCTATTTTGGTCCTTGGAAGATGGTTGGACTTTGATTGAGATTAGTCCTGGTACTTCAGAGGTCAACAGGCCTAAATTTAGTTGGAATGTAGCCTTTACACTAGGGAGCAGTAGGAGACGAGTCGAAGGAAGAAGTGTGGGGCCTGCTTGTGGAAGGTTTTGGGATATGAGACGAAAGGATATTTTGGACTTTACTAGATAGTAGGGAGCCAAGGAAGGTAATTGAATAGGAAAGAAAAGTGTTTATCTGGTGATGAATGTAGGCTGT